AACCTCGAAGTATTTGCTATAATCCTCTTTACAAAGAAAAAAATATATATGTGTGTATATATGTATCATTCTATTAGGAAAATATACATGTAAGTGAAAAAAATTAAAAGTTTATAAGGAAAATTGCCATTTATTCAACAATTTAACCAAGAGTATATCAGGAGTCAGACCCTGGGTCAAGTGCTAAAGCTAAAATGGTTAAAAAAAAAAGACAGATCTGACCTCTGCCTTCTTGGAATTTGGAATTTACAGGTTTCATTAGTAAGTCAAAATAATTGCACTTGGGCCAGCCAAGTGGCACGTTGGTTAGGAGTTGACTTGGGATGCCAGCTCTGAGCAGCAGGACTCCGGTTCGGATCCCACATGAGGGCCAGTGACACTGCGCCCTCTACAGCTGAGATGGTGAACAACAGCTTAACCTGGAGCTGGGCTGCTGTGAGTTGCCAGCGATGGCGTAGGCTTCAGTGGGGCTGGCCGGCAGCGGGCGTGTACTTTCATGAGCTGCTGTGAGCCGCCCTCAGCGGCCGTCTAATGGCCGGCGAGCGACTGCCCCATCCGGGAAGAGCACAATGATAACACCAACATGGGCCAGTGAAGTGACGTCCTCCACAACTAGACTGAAGAACAAAAGGACAGCAAATTGTCTGTTCCCCTTCCCGGATTCCCCAACGCTGTTCCCCTCCCCCAATTCCCCAATAAATTCTTAAAAATAAATAAATAAATAATTGCACTTATATGCATGGTCTTCCTTTTTTTCTAAATAATAATGCTAGGCTATTAATATTTTAGTAATATAATCTAGGCTTGTGTCTGGCTAGATGTGTGTTATAAAGTTTATGTTGGGGGCTAGACATTGATGACAAATGTCAAGAAGTGGCACAGAAAATGACAACTATTATTCCAAATGTCAGTGGTGCATGATCAGTGATGTTCTTTCCTTTTCATCCTGTAAAGAGGAAGAAGTCCTGCTGCTTGAGGCCCCGTGGCAGCCCCTTCCCTTCTTCCTAAAGGCTCCCTAACTACACCTCAGCCAAGTGACAGGCATGGCTCAGCCACCTTTCATCACAGAACTGAGAGCATGAAAGCCATTCATGCTCCCAAGAGCCCAGCCACCTCCACATCTCCCTAAGAGTAAATAACACTCCTTAAGGAGCAAGCTAATAAAGTGAGCACCTGGCACAGTTCCTCTGAAACACTGCCAACTTGACCGTAACTATATACACATAAAGCAAATCTCTGCAGAAACGGCCTGGCTAAGGTCTCTGCATTCTGCCCAAAGGTTTCTCCAGGAGACACCTTCATAAATGTAAGCAAACTAAATAACGTCACACACAGTGAATCAGAAACTCATTCAGCTTATCTTCTCCTGAGAGACTTTCTTTTGTGGAGATAATATTGCCCTTTCCTTGCAGAGCTAGGTTTGGATTTGCTACGTAGGTTTTCAAAAATAATAAAAATATGTGATTTAAAAATGCATATAGCTGAGAAAACTATAGAAGAAATGGCAGAGGAAGGAGAGGCCATGTCAGGGATCATAAATCTCTGCTACTCAAAGTGTGGCCCATGGACCAGCAGTGTTGACGTCACTTTGCAGTCTGTTCCAAGTGCAGAACTGCATACTCCACCTGAGACCTTCTGAATTAGAATCTGCATTTAATAAGATCTCCAGGTGGGAGTCACTGTTCTAGATACTTGTAACAATATCCTATTTCTATCCCTGGAAGGTGAGTACACTTAGTATTATTCTCTAAATTGTACACACATATTTTTTAGTCTTCTGATTATGTGACATATCTCTAATCCAGTTTACAAATGGAATCCATGTCTACAAACTGGCAAGTAGGGATTGTTAAAACGTAGAAGAATACTACATGAATTTGATTGTCAAACAGTAAAAACTCAGATACATACAGATAAAACTTCAGAGATCACATAACCCAGCTTGTTCACTTGATGGAAAATGAAACCAGGTGATTCAGGAAGGGGCACACTTTCCCCGGGGCCAGGTTGCTAAATTGTGGCAAAGTTAGATTAGGGTTCAGGTCTCCTGATCCCCAGTAATGTTCTGTGCTCTACAATAATACTGGTTGAATATGTCATGACTGATTTTTTTCCCCTACATAAACACATACTCATGTTAAAAGAGAAATCAGTATTTAAAAAATTCTTTAAACCAGTACCTTGTATATTTAATAATAGATTCCCAGTATGTATTAGTTTTAATGAATGATTAACTTTGAGACAGAGGCAAACATTGTTACATCTTCTCAAAGGACTGAGCTGAATTACAGCATGATTAAGTAATTTCCTTATGGAAGAACCACAGAGCTCAATTTTAAAACAATTTATAATATTCTCTTCCACAGTAACCAAAAATTGCCCTTTACTTTTATCAAAGTCAGAATATCTTACATGTTTAATATCTGGGTGCATGAATCTATGTGATTTCAAATGAAATCAATATCTGAAGTAGAACTTTAAAAATTGTTACTTAGGATACTGAAGAACAGTAGTACTCACCGATACTAATTTCATCATCTGTTTCAGCATCGCCAATACATTCAAATTGGAAATCCTGCAGTGACTGGGAAAATTTCTGTACTGCCATAGACAGATCTGTAATTGAAAGTTAAAAGAATTATAAGTTAAAGGTACCATGGAATACTCAAGTTTCCACATGTAATATTATATAACTTTGATGTTAATACTGTTTTAACCAGAACCTTTAACATACCAGTTTGACAAATATAAGCAGAATTTAAAGAGACTACTAACAAAATATTTTAGGAACTGGATCTGCTCTGCGTAAAAGGGGATCTGTCCTTTTAAGAAAGTTTTAATACCAGTCATGTATTCTCCGGAAGCCAACTTCCCAAAGCGTTTATCAAAGAAGTACTATTCATTCCCTATAAATAGAACATTTATTAAAAATTTTAAAAAGGAAAAAGGAATGCTACTGAGGTTGAAAAAAAAA